GAAACCTCAGAACTAGAAGAGGATGAAACCTCAGAACAAGGAGAGGATGAAACCTCATGAACACTAGCAGAAGAAGATGAAACTTCATCAGGACTAGCAAGAGCGGGCGAAACCGCATTAAAATAGTGATCCTGCTCAGAAGGTGAATCACCTCTGGCAATAGGCTTTTTCAATGAAGAATTTGCCTTAATAGATGACTGCTTGGCTTGAACAGAAGGCTGTTTCAATGAAGAATTTGCCTTTAAAATAGGATAAGGATCATCTTTAACAAGTGGTGAGTGACATTCATCATCAAACAAGGAGCTTAAAAACCCACTATCAAAGTCATCTCCCACAGACGAATCCCCGCTATTAGCTAACTTTTTAGCCATAGCCCTAGTAACAGCACAAGCAGGATATATATCAGAGTCCTCTTGGACAGAATCCTCAATAGAACAAGGCTGATCAGAAACAATGGGGTCTAATGATACCTTACCCCCAGCTAAATCATTGCCTAAAAGCAATGCGACTCCTTCAACAGGAAGTTGTGGCCTAACACCAACAATAACTGGCCCTTTGACTAACTCTGATGTGATATGAATACGATGGAGGGGAACTTTAGTAAATCCTAATTCAATGCCTTGCATCAAAATATGGGTACCTGTGAATGACTCCTCAGATAAAGGAAGGACACCTTCTAACAACAAAGTCTGAGATGCACCCGTGTCTCTAAGAATCTTAACAGGCTTTGAATTGGTATCATCACTTGACAGTGACACAGATCCTTCCGACATGAAAGGCTTATAATCCTCCATAATATCACTATGAGTAGATTTCTCAGTATGAGTATATGAATCCCAAACAATGGGCTTTCTTGAAATGGGAACAGTAGCACAACCATTTGAATGAGCAGAACCAGACATCTCTCTTCTATTCTTAATCCTATAGCATTCAGAAATAAGATGACCAGGCTTTTTACAATAATTACAGGTGACATTTGATTTTGGACCTGAAGAATTTGATTGATCAGATTTTGAGCTAAAACTCTGTGATGAATTAGACTGGTCTTTTGCTTTGTTTGATGTATTTGATGATGAGGACTGATTTGATTTAGAGTCATATGAAGGTTTGTTACCCTGATAACCCCTATAGTTAGGATTGCCCTTGATAAAACTACCCTTATGAGTAAGAGCATAATCATCAGACAGGGTGGCAGCTTGACTCAAAGTTTCTACCTTGTGTTCATCTAAGTAAGTTCTAATGTGATACTGAACACAGTTTTTAAATTGTTCTATAAGCATTAGCTCTCTGAGCTTCTTAAACTCTTCAGATACATCTTTAGAGACAAGCCACCTGTCAAAAAGCTGCTCTTGCTCTCGAGCAAACTCAACATGGGTTTGGTCACTCTGTTTGTGGGCATTTCTAAATTTTTGTCTGTAAGCTTCTGGTACTAGTTCATAAGCTTTAAGAATTGCATTTTTAACTAGGTCATAATCAGAGCATACTTCTCCAGAGAGAGAGGCAAATATTTCACTTGCTTTACCAATAAATACACTCTGGAGCATAACTGGCCATGCAGATTTAGGCCAGTCTAGGCTCTGAGCAACTTTTTCAAAATGTGTAAAGTATTTATCAACATTTTTCTCTTGAAATTTAGGTACAAATTTGAGAAATTTTGAAGCGTCAAACCTATTTTCAAAATGTTGATGCATAGTAGCATGTTCATCAGTTTTGGATTGAGCTTCTATCTCAAGACGTTTTAACTCAACTTCTTTTTCTTTTTGAATTTCTTGTTCTCTTATTTCTTTTTCATTTTGCATTTCTTGTTCTCTTAATCTTATTTCTTTTTCATTTTGCAATTCTTTCTCTCTCATTTCATTTTGTAATTTGAGTTCAAGTTCTCTCATTTGTAATTGCTGTTGAAATTCAGTAGGATCAACATGCTGGGTTGGCTCTACAGTAAGCTTTAATGCTTCTTCTGGTAATATTTCTTCCGCTACCAAATATGGCACCAGAATATTTTTTATTGCACCTTTTCGGTATGAAGTTTTTACTGCCAAACCAACATGTTTTGCTAGTGCCAGAAGTTCAGTTTTCTTTAAACTGTCAAATTCCTCCAAAGAGGGCGATTCTAAAAATGTCTCAACCTCAAAACTCATTTTCAATTAATTGCTGTCTTCACAATTTAAATGTACAAGTTTTGGATTTCGAATTTTGAAATATTTGAATTTTAGCTTGTTGTAGTTGTATCCCGGACGAGCCCCCAATTTCTGTTACGTTCGAAAATAACAGAAAGTAAAAACAGCAATTAAAATATGATAACAATATATTTATATTTTGAAAAACTAAATAATATAACAATAATATAAAGGAGGTTTAATACTTAAGTGATGTCCAATCAATGATACGGCTTATTCTTGTTGTCGATAAATGTCGTTGACGATCCTAGAGAATGTTCCAGATCACGAAATGTTTCAATAATCGTTGATAGTTCTCCAATGTTTGTAATAATCCAATAATGTTTGTTGTAATCCTATAATGTTCGTATCCAATAATGTTTGATGATAATCCACAAATGTTTATGATAATCCACGAATGTATATGATAATCCGTATATAGTGTGTGTTGTAATATATGTCCATATAAAGTCCTCAGGTTGTATGTTTACACTGTTATAAATGTTCCCAAAGTAGGTGTCTGTAATTTTCTGCTAAGAAGATGTCCTTTTGATAGACTTTGAAATTCTGCTGACAGCCCAAATCAGCTCTCTCATTATATAGTGCAAAGGCATAGTCCAGATGCTTCAAGAAGTTACGATTTCTAGAAAATAACACTGATTGGACATCTTAAGTCACATGATTCAATCTTGATTAAATGATTACAGTTCCAGTACTTTCTAGAAGGCCAAGAGTTAATGAGTCATTCAGTTCAGTTATGTTTACAAGATACATAATACAATGTCATTGTGACCTTGACCCAAGATCTCTAATAAAGATCAGTTACAGTATATACATATAGATAAACTAAACTTAATGTGAATATAATAGAACATAATACTGTAACACTGGCTATTATTTGGTATTACGAGTATTGCCCTATAAAAATTGTTTGAAACTGTACATGTATTGGAATATTTATGAAACTCTACACGTTAAGAATGACGTAAGTGGTACATTGCATATTATGTCATATATACGAAGGCATCAGCAATTAAAATGTAGTGCTACTATAGATACTATAGTATTCTTAAGTAATTGTTCATATGCTACCATATCACTATATATGCTGTATACATATAAACTTCAGTATACGAGACCGTTAATATTATAGAATAATTGTAAAAACTGTCTACGAATGTTTCTTACTAAATGTAATAATTTTACACATATCAAAATATATAATATGCAAATATGCAATGAAAGTGAAACATTTCACCATTATATGTCCACTGCAGCTGTATATATTACCCATATATCATCTGCAAATGGTGTCCACTGCAGCTGTATACATAACCCATATATCATCTGCAAATGGTGTCCACTGCAGCTGTATATATAACCCATATATCATCTGCATATGGTGCCCACTGCAGTTGCATAGATAACCCATATATCATCTGCAAATGGTGTCCACTGCAGCTGTATATATAATCCATATATCATCTGCATATGGTGTCCACTGCAGCTGTATATATAACCCATATATCATCTGCATATGGTGTCCACTGCAGCTGTATATATAACCCATATATCATCTGCATATGGTCCACACTGCAGTTGTATAGATAACCCTTATATCATCTGCAAATGGTGTCCACTGCAGCTGTATATATAATCCATATATCATCTGCATATGGTGTCCACTGCAGCTATATACATAACCCATATATCATCTGCAAATGGTGTCCACTGCAGCTGTATGTATAACCCATATATCATCTGCATATGGTGTCCACTGCAGCTATATACATAACCCATATATCATCTGCAAATGGTGTCCTCTGCATCTGTATATATAATCCATATATCATCTGCAATTGGTGTCCAATGCATCTGTATGTATAACTCATATATCATCTGCATATGGTGTCTACTGCATCTGTATACATAACCCATATGTCATCTGCAAATGGTGTCCACTGCAGCTGTATATATAATCCATATATCATCTGCATATGGTGTCCACTGCAGCTGTATACATAACCCATATATCATCTACGTATGGTGTCCACTGCAGCTGTATAGATAACTCATATATCATCTGCATATGGTGTCTACTGCATCTGTATAGATAACTCATATATCATCTGCATATGGTGTCCACTGCAGCTGTATACATAACCCATATATCATCTGCATATGGTGCCCACTGCAGTTGTATAGATAACTCATATATCATCTGCATATGGTGTCTACTGCATCTGTATACATAACCCATATGTCATCTGCAAATGGTGTCCACTGCAGCTGTATATATAACCCATATATCATCTGCATATGGTGCCCACTGCAGTTGTATAGATAACCCTTATATCATCTGCAAATGGTGTCCACTGCAGCTGTATATATAATCCATATATCATCTGCAAATGGTGTCCACTGCAGCTGTATATATATAACCCATATGTCATCTGCAAATGGTGTCCACTGCAGCTGTATATATAACCCATAAATCATCTGCAAATGGTGTTCACTGCAGCTGTATATATAACCCATATATCATCTGCATATGGTGTCCACTGCAGCTATATATATAACCCATATATCATCTACATATGGTGTCCACTGCATCTGTATACATAACCCATATATCATCTGCAAATGGTGTCCATTGTAGCTATGAACATGTTATGCATCGTAACAATAAGAATAGCCTTGGCTTTGCAATTACCATATTACAATAGCACTCACTGGTATCTGTAATATGTTGTCAACATAGAACAACCTCACCATTTAATATTATTCAACGTGGTGTTAAAATCATATGCCAAGGCTTATTTTATGATTGTTATTGTATCTTACCTGAATTAGTTAGCTTTTACATCTCTCCATCCGCCATATTATTTACAACTTAGCGTTCCTACATTTTTTAATTTGAATATCTCATGTGACATTTATCAATCCCTTTTTGATGGAGTTATAAATTCCTTAACCGCATCAATCCCACGTCTAAATGTTTTTGGTTTCTTGTCATCCACATGCTCGCATATTATTTTCTAGTGAGTGTTAGAAGTGCGATGGTGCGCTACAGTTCTGACGCTGCGTGCAGAAGGCCTGGCCCAAGAACAATTAAAGCAATTGCAAAAACGGAAGCTCCATATGCTAAGCCAAGCATCCAATTCCATCCATTAATAATGGATCAGGTTTAGTTTCAGCGGCTATGCTATCTGCTTAGATTATTAATGTAAAGCAAATCTACATTCGATCGTTTTTCCCACTGATTATTATTTATTAATTCAAGTAGACATCGTGTTCTGTAATAATCGAAAGAGAACAATAACAATACGAAGATCTATAGATTCACGCAGCTTTGACCATTGATAGAAAAAAGCATAGCGTGTTAATCTGTAAATGAAGCTAAAACTCATATTAGGAACATGCAAGATTTAATGAAAAGAATGTTAGTGGTGTCAAAAATAAGATCGAAGAATAAACTAAGATGGGGGGGGGGGTCCCTTGAATATGATGACGATGACCATCGTTGCTCTTGGGTTCACAACTTGTCACGTTCACCTTTAAAAGGTCATAGAAGGCCAGTCAGAAGTCAAATAAACATTTGAACTGGAGATATAGCTTTAGACGCATGTCACATTGCGCTATTTTCAAAACAAAGTGTTGGATCAATATGCCGTTAGATGATTTTTATGATTAATTCACACTAATCATAAGAGCAGTCTCGAAACGGTCACAAAAGAGATATGTGTTAGAAGTATAGAGTATCGGTGATATCATATAATGTTGTTTTTTGGGCGGGGGCGATGTAACGACCCTGGCTATTCAATTGCATTCGTGAAAGGCGTATCACGGGAATCATTGAATCGCATTCGTGAAACAAAATATGACTTATTACATCATATTGAAATGAGTGAATTAAACGGGGACTTTACTGTTGAATCGCATTCGTGAAACAAAATACTGTATAGTTTATCACATCATATTGAGATGAGTGAATTAAACGGGGACTTTACTGTTGAATCCCATTCCTGAAACTAAATATGACTTATTACATCATATTGAAATGAGTGAATTAAACGGGGACTTTACTGTTGAATCGCATTCGTGAAACAAAATATGACTTATTACATCATATTGAAATGAGTGAATTAAACGGGGACTTTACTGTTGAATCGCATTCGTGAATCAAAATACTGTATAGTTTATAACATCATCTTGAGATGAGTGAATTAAAGGGGATTGAGTGGCAAGGACATATATGTTCAATTAGGTTTTACATCCAACCAACAATCATAATAAAATTACTCAACAGGGAGTCAGTAATGGCAATAATTCGATATGCGACGAACAGATACAAATTAAATTGAATTATTGGCAATTAATTTGTTGTAATAGATTTGAATGTTCCATCTCATTTCTCGATAATTCAGGTCACGGAGAGTTCAATTTACATCAATAATATCACGTCTGTCGGATCGAATTGTATTGACAAGGTATACGTTTTCTCAGAAATACAATTGCAGCTGTGAAGAACAAAGTCCAGTTACAAAACACATCTTTGAAATTAATATCTATGAATAACACGATACTGGCTTCATAAAAAACGTTGAGAAAAAAACTTCAATAGATAAAAGTTCTTTATTGAATAAACGATTTAAATATGCAATTTTCGTCACGTTTGCTTGGCCATGATATATCGTGCTTTATTCCACAGTTAGCATGATATTCAAAGGATAACATGTGAAAATAAAAACGGTATTTTTGTAATCAGTGGTAAAATATGATATTTTAGACAAATTTTCAATTAACCATAGCATACGGTTTTTTAGCCATGACATACGGCGCCGTATGCGATGGTTTATGGATTTTTGCTACTTCAGACTCAAAACGAGGCTAAGTGTCAACATCGCCAGATCGTTTGGAAATTCGAATTAAATCACTTATTTTCCGACGATTCTGATGATGACTTTAACTATGGAATAAAAAGAACATCCTATGATTTACTCGTGATATGATTTTAATCCACTCATGGATATTGATATCTGATATCATATTCATTCGTGGATAAAAATCATATCACTCATAAATCATAGGATATCCTCTATTTATTCCATGATACTACTGTTTTCCCAGGGAAATATCAAGGAATAAATTAAAATCGTATTGAATCGTATTACATGAAAAAATCGATTTACCCCTTGAAGAAATCGTATTGGAGCGTACATGAAAAAATCGTATTGTCCCGGGAAAACAATCGTATTGGAACGTATTAACCTATTTTTGGTTTCCCGGTTATTTTTAACCTTGGCTAATTGATAAAAGCATTATCCAAATGTAACATTTTAGAGGAATGAATTATGGAATAAATAGGTCATTTCTTGTCGGGATTGAATATTCCTCTGAGAATATGAAATTGACCTTGGGACCTCCCAGTAAATAACCTATATCTATTACCAATATATAATCGAGTCCCAGCACAAATAATATGATACATACAAGGAGCGATCCATATATTCTGATAAAAATGCTCTCATTTTGTGGGTTTTTCACATATCTCTTCCCAGAAAATGTAGATTATGTAATTACACATACAATGCTAAAATATTATAGCTATATCTTAAATTATCAATGAGATAAGATTGCCATGGTAACCTGTATTTAGGGAAGGCAGGTCAATTAAACTATAACATATAAATATCATAATAACTTGTTATTTTAATTATTTTAAAGCATGCAGAAATCATGCATATTTTCTAAAAATGTTTAGTATTGTTACTCGTCGTTTGTTGCAAACAAATGTTTATATGTGCTCACAATTGTAACATCACAACAAATCAAATCGCATTGTAGGACAGAATGGACCAATTGACATTACATGTTATGAGACACACCAAAAATCAAATCGTCAGATGAGGTAAGTGTGGCTGATGCAGAGTGTGACATTAACGTATACATTAGGGAAAACCATTAGATTTTATTTTCTTTCAAGAATAAGTAAAAGGACATTGTCAGAGACATACATGGACTCATTAAGTGCATGGGCAAGGTGTTATATCTGCATAAAGAATCTATAGGTAGAATTGTAAAGAGGAAGGCATGGCCACTGTTGAAGATCATCCACAATCTGGTTGCAAGAAGAACTTGCGGACAGAGAATAACACTACGATAAATTGAGATGTTACTTATGAAAAGATAGCTATCCCACTGTATAAATCATCAAACAAGGGCAACAGGGGTATGGAACAGATCAATGAATAGTTAGTAATGACTGGAAGATGCGTTTGATCTGCTCAAAATAGGTACCGAGGAATGATTAAAATAACATATTTATCTGTTTTAGACGTTATAATTTAACTGACCTGCCTACCCTAAATACAGGTTACCATGGCAACCTTATTTCAAAATTAATTTAAGAGCTAAAATATTTTAGCATCGTATGTGTAATTACATAATCTACATGTTCTGAAAGGGATATGTGAAAAAATCACAAAATGAGAGCATTTTTATCAGAATATATGGATCGCCCCTTGTATAAGGGTTATGTACCGGGAGGATTTGGATACAGGGTTTATCCAAAGGGAAACATGTGTATCATATTTCCACAGGGATAGGATACCGTACATAGGAAGGGTAGTAGAATTGCCAAGACTCTTGAATTGTCTGTAAAACATAAGCTGAGGAGGCCTTTCACAGACACTCCCAGGGAATTTTTTTTAAAAGACTCACAGTGTTGTTAAGGTTCAAGACATCGCTTAAGTTATATAGCATCTCATTGCGAGCATCTTCAGTTTTAGAACATTCCAACAATCCATGTGAAACCGGACCAGGAGTTAGCATGCCACACTGCTCACATAGGTTTTCATCATTACTCAACGGAATTGTTAACAGTGTAGCGGCTATAGTGGCAAACTTTAGCAGACCAGGGGTGACCTTTGAGTGTTTCCCAAGTGGACACGGTTCTATTGAATCCTGTATTTGTCTCAGTTGACTAAAACTAACATCATTAGCAGTTTTGTTTTGCCATTCAGAGTTTTGTACTGAATTTATTGCATATTTTACGATGTTTTTCCAAATTCTTAGGGGCGGAAAAAATCCACTTACTAATTATTCGCGTAATGAATCTAGGCTCTATTTATTCAATATTCTTTGTATCTTGGGAATAAATCCCTTCTGAGAAGGGGACGTCTCATTTAGATGCAGTCTGGTAAGAAATGCTTGTTTCGCCAATTAAATGTGTCATTATCTGTTACCATGGCAACATATTTAAACATTTCTTGTAGACATACATTGGTATATCCCCTCAGATTTTCCTGATATTCTACTTGTCACTAACATCAATTCTGTTTTAAGTACACAACTCACTAGATGGCTACAGATATTTCGTGTTTTTGTTTTTCGTTGTTTTCCTAGAGATGCATATGCCAGTCAAATTTTCTGATTTCTATAATTCAATCAATACTTAAAACTGCAAAGTAAATACAGCAGTATTTTTCATTGATGTTAACAGCTGACAAAATCTATAGTTACGAAAAGGTTTACATTTCATGAAGCTTATACATTAGTTATTCTTAATATACAATGTAAAAAGGACAATGGGCAATATTAGAGTAACGATTGTACTACCTATTTGTTTTATTGTAGTCGATTATCAATTATTGGTTCATATTGTAAAATTGCATAATGTTGAAATTATTTAATTGTTTCCTTCTATTACTCTTGCTATTCCGCCAACAATGCTGGTATGATATAGCAATTTGACGTTAATAAATAATATATTCCCCATTGAATATAGCGGTTATATAACATTATAAACAGTTCTGGTTTGTGAGAAATAATTCAATAAGAAAAGACCGAATTGTAATTTGGTTCTTTGTCTTTGATTAGATTAATCCTATCATTTACTTGAATGTCGATGTTTATCAGGCATATTGGATAGCAAAGAGCATATTAAAACATCCAATATCTCTGGTTCAGGTCAGAATGGTTTCCATTTCCCAGGGAAGCGAAAATAGGTAAACAAGGGACGAGCATTGACGCAGATGAGCATATCATTTTTCTCCAGTAAATACTTGGACTATGTCCAGATAACATTTATGAAAGCACACTCTCCTTCAAAAGTTTGGACATTTCATTAGGTTAAAAATATTATTTAATCAAGTTAATCGTCAAACATGACATGTACGAACAATAATCATAAAATATTAAGATTTTTAGAGCAAACGGTTCGGAACTTTTGGATCAACCCTCGTATTTCGAAGTGGTTGAATCAAATAGACGTCTTGGTGGTTCACCAACATTTAGAAGGGAGAGTAAATTAAGTACAATGACCGATGAAGTAACAACTTGCTATCCAGAGTTGTTATATTACTACACTGCGTCATCGTGAACGTTATTAGACAATTGCAACGTTGCACGACACGTTACAATCTAAGATAACTTTGTGAATTTAGACATTGAGGAAATAGTCCTTTCAAAGTGAAATGCCTGATTCTGTGATAAGCTTGTGATAATTTTAGCAGTTTAACCATATTTTAAGACAGGTACTTATACGAGGGGTGATTCAAAAATAATTATATATACTGGCAGACGGTTAAATGAAAATATGGAGGCTAGCTTCAGATTTAAATTTTTTAAATCGCGAACGTGCATGTGTAGAATAATGGTACTTTTGAATAGGTTTTCTTTCCCTTTCATAGCAACCGTGCGCGTTTGCTCGATTGAGCAAAGGCATAAGAAGAATATATAGCTGCAATTGAGTGTCTGGGAAAAATGTTTGAATTGAATGTTTACGAAATAAACGTCCGATTGAAATATTTGATATCGACAGTGACACTTTTCTTCTCCATTAATTTGTCATCGATACTATACTAAATTGTACCAACAAGCACACATTGACAAGCAACATGTTCTTAATGATTGATCACCTATTGTAAGGAAGCACAGTGCCATATTAAACGCACAAGGTACTTAGGGAGAGTCCATTAAGAATCAACATTTTCAAATTCTATGTTTTGCAGCTTTTTGCGACTTACTTTTAACGAATTTGGTAAACGATATGCAAAAATGAATGGGCTTATTTAAGGAATAAATAATGATAGGCCATTCAATATGGTGAAATTCAGCACGAGTTGGACAGAATGTTGTACAAAGCACGAACCGAATGTGAGTGCATTTGTACTAACATTCTGTCCAACGAGTGCTGAATTTCACCATATTGAATGGCCTATCATTATTTATTCCGATTCAAACATAAAAATTAGTAAAAGCCGTGTCTGTGGAACGGGCATGAAGGAAGAATACGCATGCTGTCAAGATTCTGAAGTCGGCCTGAAAAATTTTAGAATTTGTTTGGGCTGTTCTATTTTACTCCCCGTTTTAGATTTTGGTATGAATTATGGCTGTTGCATTATCGGATTACCTTGCGAAAAAATGTCCCGAATAGATTCTCATTAATCTCAACTACTATACAAAATAAAACAAAATATGACAGATATATATTATGTTATAATCATAATCAACAGCCTGGCTATACAGGTAGGCACACTATCTTTAGATTAAATAATTCACTATCCAAATCATGTTTCATAGTTTGGATATTTTAAAGAACCTTCAAAGGCGTGATGAAAACACCCTTCGAGATAAGGTCTCGCTGAGCTTTTGAAATGAAAGAGTCGAAATACCCCTGGACCAAGGATGCGATGAATGAAATCAATTACTCTTATCATTGAACGACTTACATTTTAAAGCATCGTAGGGTCATCTTTTAGTAATTAACACAACCTTCACGCTTCAATGAAAGAACGATTTAAAGAGATTAAATGTAATCCCTTTGGTTCATTAAATTATAGACAAACAATTCCGACTAACATGTAATAAGTAAATGATATAGAAAATAGACTACAAGTTAGATTGCATAAAAATACTATTACTCATACGTTCGATGTTACAATTCATGTCAATGTAAACAAGCGTGGGTGTGTTTGCATTTCCATCGGTTGAATTGGCATTAGTTTGCAGTATATTCGATTGTTAATAGAATTGCAAAAATGGTATATTAGAAGTCTTAACATCACACATTTTGTCTTCCCGATTTCAATCATATATTACGTCGGTATAACGTGGACAATTTGGGTAGACGTTGTCATTCCCGGATGCCCAAATTCTCGGGAACATATAGGCACTCGAATGATCTTGATTGGACATCATAAATCTGCAGAGAAATCTTAAGCCAAAATCGTAAATTTTTGAATTATCGGAACATATGTATAGATGTAGTTTTTGCATTTGCATCTTATTATAAAAGAGACCACGCGGTATACACGACATGTAAATAATAAAATACATTATATATTGTTATGCACAGGGTGGTAAAAACGTCTACATTCGTTATTTCGATACAACAGGAATCAATTCTAGATTTGTTTTTGAAATGGGGTAAATAAATCTCCATGGGTTAAAAATACACCGGGGTCTGACAAATTTCATATATCGAAATAAAAACTATTGAATTTTGGTTCACCCTGGTAAGCATATATCTGAAGTGGACAGTATTTCCAACCCATATAAGTTTTTCAAGGATGGCAATGTGCGTCCATTCATGTTGACTCTCAGATAGGGAAGTTGATACAGGCAATACTAATATTGCGCAGAATTGCACAATAATTTTGTATATGTAATATACGTAAAATACATGTCACAGTAATTCGATATTGCGGTGAACTTGTGTAGAATGGCATTCTGCATGTTCTGGAATTGATCGATTAAAGGAATCTCCAAACATTTAGCTATCTTAGCTAAACTGATTCAAACATGCGCATTCCTATTGTATGTATGACATTATTAATATACACTAAATTGTGGGTTTAATAACCTCTATTAGTTCACGAAGAAAGCAGATAGTATGGAGATTAACTGAGAAAATAATTTTTAAAATCCTTATAATTATATGTTCTGAAAAATCAAAAGGCACAGCTGAGCAAGGTAATATAAGTATAAGTGAGGCAGTTTTATTATCTTGGTTTTCTTGATGAGTGTCACAAGGAAAAGCAAATGGAATGCCCACCAAATGATTCTAAACATGGAAAAATGGATGATGTTAGTGCTAAATGAGCAAATCTTTAGTACTAAATGAGCGCTCGAGTAGCATTAGATCATTACTTAAAATATCGTTACTAAAACGGTACTAAATTAAACCCTTATTTTTCTCAAAATTAGTACTAAAATAGCACTCAATTAGTAATGAATTAGCAGTCTGGCAAAAGCGCGCTCGTGAGCACTCATGCCACGAGTACTAATTTAGCACTTATTTTGTACTAATTGAGTGATCGACATATCTCCCGGCCCTGTGTACCATTCCCATTGGTGTAGATTTTCATGTTGATTTTCAAAAATTCATCTTTGCCATCAATTTTCGTTGTAATTTTGTACATCTTCTTCTTCATTATTAGTTTTTTCTTTACAAAAACTGAACCTCTTCTTTGAAACATGCTTTAACATGTAAGCCAATGGTGAATGATGATTGGCGAACTCATGTATCGGAGTGTACCCCCAACACACACTAGTGAGTAAATTCTGATATATCAATTCAATACTTCTTGATCACTCCACGGATATGTCAATTATAATCCTCTCTCAAACATACATGATTCTTAATGAATTTACACATTGTCTCTTTCTATGTAGAAAATCTCATTTTTAAAGAGAAAAATAAATAAAAGTATTATGTAGATTAAGTAAAATCTCAAATAACATCCTGCTTTAAATGCGCATTAATCGATTCCCTTTAGTATTTATTTGAATTCCGATAAGTTCAAATGACACATATTAAGTTTTGTGCTCCCTTGCGTTAAGTTTAACGATTTCCATTTAACGATAAATACTTTTAATTAAAATAGTTATTAAAGATGTGCTCTAACTCATCAATCTATTTATTACTCTCAAAGCTAAGTGAGTTAATTTATGCTGACATGACTGAAATATCGTTGTATAGTTCAATATATTCATTTGTTGAGTAAATATGCAATCTTTTGAACATTTTACTGGACTTACCAGTGATTTCCTTCATCAGCAAAAATGCTTTTTAAAGTACTTCATTTGATATAGTCAATTACCAAGACTCGGTTGGTTGCTATGGCAATGTATTTTGCTGCAACAATTAATAACCGTCTCTTGCAAAAGTCAATACAATAATCTATAAATCAGAAAATGTATAAATTTAATAAAATGAAGTGTTGTATAAATGAGTTGGAAATCGTATTTTTCCATTTTATTGTTTTTGTTCAATGGATTGGATGGCTGTTTTGTATTGATTCTTAATATCGTATTGTCTTATATCCTCCTTCACTAATATAGGAGTTACGATCGGTCGTTTCTAATCAAAGGTTGATGTTTCGAGTAGTTTTCAAGTTTGTTACAAGGCCATGTGTCATTGAGTGCACAGCGGGTTCCAATCCCACCCGAGGAATATAATCTACATATTATGTCATATTCGAAATTCTATCCGTCTCACATTATTTGAGATTGGACTGCAGTATGATAATGGTACTTGAATTGTGGGGGGGGGGGCATTAGACATTGTTTCTTTTCACGTTTGATCAAGGTTTGAGAGTTGGAAAGTTGGGATTTTTTTGTTTGATGCATATACCATGAATGAATATTACATTCAAGTTGACACATACATTCAATTGCTTACATAAGCGTTTCAAGAAAAATCCCCATTTATTATTGACGAAGGGATTAGAGGTACCATTTTTGTGTAACCTTGAATTTTATATTGTTAAGGAAACATTTGATTTCATCGAGGCTAAGCATCGTGTTTGTGTACATCTCTTTAACAGATTAACGGCCCTCTGATGTTGTTATTGCAGAAAATGTTGGTATATTGGATTGGAAACTGAGTCTTCGTGATTATTGAAGTGCATTGATACCCGATTAATTCCTATCAATTCCAATCGCATATAAAATATATATTTTAATAAAATAGAAATCATAATAAGATGAAATCTAAAGCCATGGTGTTCTTTTAGGAATGCATAGGATTTTTTTCTGGAGTTTTGTTGGATTGCCTACCTCGACTTTAGGCAGGGTGAGGACAGGTCATTCTTCAAACATTGATAAGCTTACCCAAGAACATGTTTTCCAAATTGTGTAAACTCACTCTACCTTCATAAATATGACATATATTTTATTTTTTATGACATATGAAATAATATTACACCGCTTGGAGAACAAAATGCAATAGTTCTCATGTACAATATACTGTTTTGTCAGACTGACAAACGATGAACTCTAAATGACCATGACCTGGAGGAGTTGGCTTACCATACATTACGAATCCCATTCGTCATTAGGGGGGGGGGGGGGGGGGGGTTCGCAAAACGATTTTAGCTCAACGGATCCGTAGCCGTAACGTATTTATCAGATTTATGCGTGTAGTCAGTTCAATTTATACGTGAAGCGATATGGAAAACACGAAAAATGAGGCTTTTCTACGTTGGTCATTTACGTATCCAATTTTATCCTTCGATTATAAAGCACAGTGTGCTGTGTATAATTTGACTTAAAGTTTATTGTTTGACATAAATCGAGTTTTTCAAATGGTATGTTCTATTCATTTTACACTGACATATGGTATCGCAATAATTACAGTGTACATGTTTCGCACAACGTTTCAGCTACCCGTATCAAACTCCGTAACGTATCGATGGAGAAAAAGTGTACTCAATACGTTTGTCTAATCGACAGCAATACCGAAAGTACGTAAACTAACGCTTTATGTGCGTAGTTGTTTCCGCATCTAGTTTGTCCTTCAAATTTTTACGAATAAAGGTTGTGTTGTGTTACTTGAACAATGGGTTGTGTTTGCTTTTGTTGGTTTATCATTGGGTTGTGCTAAATTGCGTGGTGATAATTTCACAGTTCTTTGTGTTTTCGTGGTTGTCATTTTAGTTGTGTTTTATTGGTTGTTCCCGATTGTGTTTTAATTGTTTATTGTTGGGTTGTGCACAATTGTGTTGAGTTAGTTCATCAATTGGTTGTGTTTGCCTTTGTTGTTTCATCATTGGGTTGTGACATATTGTGTTGATTTGACAGTTGGTTGTGTTTTGGTGGTTGAAAGTCAGGTTGCGCTATGCTGGCTATGCTCTGTTGCGTTCTGTGTATGTTGTCACTGGGTTATTTTCTATTGTACTGTTGTTTGATTGGTGACCTAGGTTGTGTTTAGTTGTAATAGGTTATATATGTCATGTTACGGGCTGTGTCCCATCGTGTTGTGGTGTATTATTGGGTTAAGATACAAATGGCCGGTTTAGTGTATTATGTTGTTGGTATATCAGTTGTTTGGTATATTCAGGGTCGAATCAAAGGATATAATAATATGTTTCTACACATTATTAGTATGTTATAGGTTTGGTACCTACATGTATTCATATATAATGAAATCTCTTGTGTGAGATATTCAACTGGTATGATTGGCGTTAGCTTTGGGTCGTTCTCTGATTCTCTGATGAGGGGGTCTCCTGTTGTTCAATGAATCCAAGAAAAACAATGCTAATTTATCTTTTTACATAATATATTTTTGTTGATTTCTCATGTACTTTTATTGCATAAATGATACATTTGTGTCACTTTCTATGATCAAATATTTTACTTTGCTTCCACCAAGTCGGTATTTTTTACTTATTTGACTTTAGAGTATAACCAAAATATACAGCTGCAAAGACATAAAATTAAAGGTCCATGTACAGTATGGCAAGTGATTTTAGACGGTCATAACTTTCACCATGGGATAGAAATCAAGATAAGTAAGAGTTCGACTTGGGCAAGGCTACGAATGCCTACATTGTATATGGTTTGTTAAGTCTAAGAAACTATTTACTAGTATTGGAATCAGTCCATGATAGACCTAGAAATTATCTTTTCTGGCCTAAGGGATATCAGATATTCTTCATTCTGAAATTGATTTCATGAAATTAATAAATGGCCCCTTGGGGATGAAAGGGTTAATATGTATTTTTGCATTTACCAATAATACTTATGGAGTTGTGATTCTGAAAGCTGACACTCTCACTGGTGTATTGAAATCTTAGTGAAGATGAATTCTTTTATTTGACCCTAGTTTTCACTACTATTAAACATGGATTGAGATGCGTTTATAATTACGTACTTCAAAAAACGAACTGCGAAACGAAAATTATCGAAATACCGTAAACGTAACGAGATACGGATGCGGATACGTTTTAGCTAACCCGTTGTGCGAAACCTCTCTATTGTAACACGTTCAGCGTAACCAAATTGACCAAACAATAGCAATATGTCATTAAAATATACATATATAAAGCGATACATATTTTAGCTTCCTGGCATCAGTTGAAGTGATTGGGTCATTAAAATGAAAAAATCATACAGATGTGATAAATCGACTATTTCATCAAATACAAGGTGACCTATTACATCACTCATTTTATATACACCCACATTTAACTGATTGTGTAATTTAACATTTTTAATGATATTACATCTGGAATGTATTGTCCCTCAAACATCGTTACTTCACAACAATATCTTCCTTAAATGTTCAGCCCTTCCTGTTCTTAATAGCGCCATTTGATACACCATTTGTGCCATTCGAGTGAGCATTTCTTTTTGATTTGCTTTTGTGTACACTTGATGATTTACTTCCTACTCCATTCGAATGTCCATTTGCATCTGATTTCAGCGATTCTTGTTTTGCTCTCTTTTCATATATCATGCTTGTAAAGGGACTGCAATTAGAAAACATGTACAGTGTAAAATATTAATAGCTTAACAATTCGCTTTGTTTATCGAATGCAATGGCGTTGTCATGATAAAAAATTGGACAATTAAAACATGAAAAACTGAGGAATTTAGAGTAATTCGGGTATATTACAACAGTTTCACTTTATTTTCACATTTCTAGTCGAAGAATTTTTCAATTTAACAAGGTTATTTTGAATGTTTCCCTTCGCAAAATTCGTGATTTTAGAACTTTGTGCAATATATAAACAACAAAAAGGTATACTTACTCTTCAAGCCAAGCAATTGTCTTCATGAGAAAGACATGGTATATACTCAGTAGTAGACCAATGAAACTTCCATGGCTAAAAAGAAAAATAATACAATAATTAATATTTAAAATTATTATATCATTGCTAGAGATCGTGTGATTTGATTGGCTGATTCAGTACCATGTGATCAAATATACTGTAGCGTATTTCACAGTTCTCTCAATTTTTGGATAATAAAAGACGTATGGCCCGGCATATTGCCCGCCTGAGAATTCTGTAAACTGCACTGGACGAAAATAAAGGTGTACTAATGATACTTGCACGTAATTACGTTTATGATATATTCATTGACTAAAGTAAACTGGTTAAAATAAATATTCTTTATTTTTTGAAATGCAAAGTGATCGTAGAGAAATTCTCGCAATGATATGAGAAGACAGATATTTCATTCTGTGTTCGGGCAATGAGTACCTGCTGCACTTTCAATAATTTTGCAGTATGCATTGACCGCAGATGAACAGATATTGCCCTCCATAGAATGAAATATTTGCTTAATATTCAGAAGCCATTAAATAATAAACAAAGCGACTATGAATACATAAAGAGATACCATTGAATTATACATGTACAATGCAACTGAATGTAGAAACAACACATTAGAAGATGAATAAATAACATGAGATGTGTGTTTTACAAATTACACTTATAGGTTAACTTAATAGCATTACCATTTCACTGACGTTGCAAACTTTTCCATATTAAATTCTAGGCCTTAAAACGTTACTATATCAAATGATAGGTAACTTATATCTGAATCAAATGACCTTCGAAGGGTTACAATATCGAATGATAGGTAACTTATATCTCCACCCAATGATCTTCAAAGAGTTACACTATCAAAGGATATGTAACTTATATCTCAATCAAATGTAGGGTTACAATATCAAAGGATAGGTAACATATATTTCAACCCAATGACCTTCAAAGAGTTACAATATCAAAGGATAGGTAACATATATTTCAACCCAATGACCTTCAAAGAGTTACAATATCAAAGGATAGGTAACTTATATCTCAACCCAATGACCTTCAAAGAGTTATAATATCAAAGGATAGGTAACTTATATCTCTACCCAATGACCTTCAAAGGGTTACAATATCAAAGGATAGGTAACTTATATCTCAACCCAATTACCTTCAAATAGTTACAATATCAAAGGATAGGTAACTTATATCTCTACCCAATGACCTTCAAAGAGTTACAATATCAAAGGATAGGTAACTTATATCTCAACCCAATGACCTTTAAAGAGTTACAATATCAAAGGATAGGTAACTTATATCTCAACCCAATGACCTTCAAAGAGTTACAATATCAAAGGATAGGTAACTTATATCTCAACCCAATGACCTTCAAAGAGGTACACTATCAAAGGATAGGTAACTTATATATCTACCCAATGACCTTCAAAGAGTTACAATATCAAAGGATAGGTAACTTATATCTCAACCCAATGACCTTCAAAGAGTTACAATATCAAAGGATAGGTAACTTATATCTCAATCCAATGACCTTCAAAGAGTTACAATATCAAAGGATAGGTAACTTATATCTCAACCCAATGACCTTCAAAGAGTTACAATATCAAAGGATAGGTAACTTATATCTCTACCCAATGACCTTCAAAGAGTAACAATATCAAAGGATAGGTAACTTATATCTCAACTCAATGACCTTCAAAGAGTTGCAATATCAAAGGATAGGTAACTTATATCTCAACCCAATGACCTTCAAAGAGTTACAATATCAAAGGATAGGTAACTTATATATCTACCCAATGACCTTCAAAGAGTTACAATAACAAAGGATAGGTAACATATATCTCAACCCAATGACCTTCAAAGAGTTATAATATCAAAGGATAGGTAACTTATATCTCAATCCAATGACCTTCAAAGAGTTACAATATCAAAGGATAGGTAACTTATATCTCAACCCAATGACCTTCAAAGAGTTACAATATCAAAGGATAGGTAACTTATATCTCTACCCAATGACCTTCAAAGAGTAACAATATCAAAGGATAGGTAACTTATATCTCAACTCAATGACCTTCAAAGAGTTACAATATCAAAGGATAGGTAACTTATATCTCAACCCAATGACCTTTAAAGAGTTACAATATCAAAGGATAGGTAACTTATATCTCAACCCAATGACCTTCAAAGAGTTACAATATCAAAGGATAGGTAACTTATATCTCTACCCAATGACCTTCAAAGAGTTACAATAACAAAGGATAGGTAACATATATCTCAACCCAATGACCTTCAAAGAGTTATAATATCAAAGGATAGGTAACTTATATCTCAATCCAATGACCTTCAAAGAGTTACAATATCAAAGGATAGGTAACTTATATTTCAACCCAATGACCTTCAAAGAGTTACAATATCAAAGGATATGTAACTTATATCTCTACCCAATGACCTTCAAAGAGGTACAATATCAAAGGATAGGTAACTTATATCTCTACCCAATGACCTTCAAAGAATTACAATATCATGACGATTAACTTATATCTCACCTCACTGACGTTCCAAATGTTACAATGTTGAACGCAAGATACTGTGGATCGTTGAAGACATTGTATGGGAAGCCTGTTACTCTCTCATTCTTCAAAATATCAAAATAATCACCTAAAAGTAATTTAAGACAAATACAAAATAATTGCTATTGTATGGTTACATTGAATGTTATTGCTCTGTCAGACTCAAGGTTAAAAGATATAGACAGATATATTCCTATTCCAGACAATGATTATTTTATTATAAAGATGGCATATCATACTGGTGCATACGATGCAGACGGTCGATTATCATAAGACAATCCGCGTTTATAGTACGGTTGTAACAAAAAGGGGTACATTCTTTTCCATTATTTTTAAAGACTGGACACTTAGCAAGCTATCAAAAAGCAGTGTGGAACAAATGACGTATCGACAGTTCGATACAAAAGAAATCAAATGACATATTAACAGCTAGATACAAAAGAAATCAAATGACGTATCAACATACATGTATCGATACAAAATAATTCAATTAATTAGTACAGTGTAACTCTTTTATAAGAATCAATAAGAAAGTGGATTCTAAGTAACAAAAACCATTCCTACTGACTCAAATAAAGGCCAATTGGCCTTCGATTCTCGGCCATTATTTCCCCTGTCAGCCAGTACTCATAGTTTATGCATACGAAAACGATTGACTGTGTTCTCAAGCAAAACCCGAACTGAATATCGGGAATAAATTGGACCAAAGATTAGCAAATCTAAATTATGGCCTATTTCCCTGTAAATAACACCCATAATGTTTAAAACTGGCAAAATTGCTCACCATAAAGTATACCAGTGTAACCCATTTGATACCATGTTGAAAGTACCATTACGAGACCAAAAATTGTCAAGCCATTTCCTATTGCTTCGACCGTGTCATTCTGTAATACTGCCCATTTTGGCTGCTCTGCCATTAGTATGTGATACCTACAATATAATAACAATGTACTTTTTTTATCAGTTATCCATTTGACAATCATTCATCACCAGTGTATTTGATATGAACATCATTACGTTTGCCATTATCAGTCTGTCATTATCCTAATTTTGTATACGATCTAAATGCATCATGTTTTAACTCTTTCACAAAAACTCCAATCAACTAATGAATGGTGCTTCCAAGTCTTCACTTATTACGTCATTTTAAAACATAGGTTATGGTTAGAATTTGAAAACGATTGAACCATGTATGGCCTCTCTGATTAAACCTACCTCCAGTCTCGTATGCAATCTAAAGCCAGGGTAATGACTCCAGTTACGTAACATGCTGTGTATTTGTTTCCAAAGAGCTTAGTAATGTATCTTGTATGATATTCAAACCTCGCAGACTGGAAAACAACACAGCACGAAGTAAGTAAAACAAGAAAATGAATTGTTATTGCCATGGTACGAACATAATAAATAAATAAATGATAAATAATGAATTTCACATCATGAAAAACAGTGACAACAAAATAACAAAAGTGTATCATCACTGTAACATATATTTGAAATATTTATTAAATGACATACATTAAGTAAAACTTAAGATTAAAGAAACGCTAAGTAAAATATTAATAAAAACTTCACCATAAATCACCAAAATCTCTAAAAATATCTATATCACAGCATATAGCCACACTTACAACGAACCACCAAGTTGGGCTCAATGCCATGCAAACAATTGTCATCCATAGATTCCAATCATCCAAATCGATCAGGTCATGCAGAAAGGACATGTTTGCTAAAATTGTCCAAATTGATCTTAATTCCGAGATTCAGTGATGGGTCCTGAAATAAATTTGTAATGTTTACATCAATGATTGATTGGTCACTGTGAATCGAGGCACCGACTATCGTTTAAATGATACTAAATAAAACAATGAACGTGTGATGAATGCAGTTGCAGATCAAAGATAAGTTAAAGATGCAGACCTGTTGTGATTACAGTCATGACATTTACACAAAAGTCATGACATTTTAACAAAATACAATACTAGGTCTTAAAGTATAAGGAACTGAAACACGAATTAACGAACCCATATTTATAATCTGCTTATTTCTGTTTTCATATTACACTTTGAAAGGGGGAGGGAAAGTATCGCAACATATTTCGGACAGTTGTATGTTGGATTTTGGCTATTCTCATTGATTCAAACAGGTGCATATTTTAGACCAATGTATTACCTCCAGGAAAAGCACTCCGAGAGATGATAAAATAATTTCGACTTTGAGACGGGGAAGATGCAAACAACCCACCCAAATGTTTTTTCTGAAATGTTTTCCTGATTTTCAACCCCTGCCACCCCTGCCACCCCTGCTTTTTAATTTTTGTTGCCTCAATATGTTGTGTTTTGACACACAGTTAACCCTTTTAAAGGAATACGTGATCCCTAAGTTTTTTTAAGATATCCATTATGGGTGACCAAAATTGGCTGAAAGCAATGGATTGCATGAGTTTTCCCCATGGTTTTCCACTTTATCTAAGAGAAATCACTTATTCCTTTAAAGGGGTTAATTGTGTGTCAAAACACAACATATTGATGCAAGAACAATTAAAAAAGCAGGGGTAGAAGGGGTTGAAAATAGCCAAAATCTAACACATGACTGTCCGAAATCTGTTGCGATACTTTCCCTCCTCCTTTAACCTCATTCTAAAACACCATTGCCTTAAAGGTGGTGCGATGTTACATTGCATAATTTCAACTTTAAAATTACCTATTTACCTATAATCTTATATAACACCGGAGTGCTTAGACATCTTTTGTCTTGTGGTCAACTTATTTCAAGGTGCTTGCGATCTAACAGACGATTGGCCTTCAAAAGGTTCCTTGGCACAAAAACTTGAATGAAACTTTCTTTCACAGGGTATCATCTACATAAGGTCGGTCTGCAACTTTAATAAATCATTAAATATGATAACACCAGTCCGGTTTGGATTTATTTTTAGCACGTTATATAACACATACTTCACAATTTTAGATAGAGCTGGATATGTTATCTTTTATACACTCTTTGATATACAATGTTAACGAATAATCGGACCATTGTTATCGTGACAGTTCCTTTACCCTGTCTTAACCTACACTGTACTTGCGGTTCACTTACTGTCTAAGAGCCTCTCGACATGCTCATTAACACATTTAGGCATAATTACATTTTGAAAATACATGCTTAGCGTATGCATTGTACTATGTTATATCATGTAAATACTTGTATATATGAAACTCATATACCTATAAATCCTTGTAAACTAGTTAGACTATATATTCCCCTTTTTATTTGCTAGTGATACTTTTTTGATACTTGACATTATAGTTTTATATGCCATTTGGTGTCAGTATTAGTCATGCATTATTATTGTATATACATTTTTCTAAATAAATAAATAAATAAAAATGAACTGGTTCCCTCAATGCCATCCCTCTCTCATTGAGCTCAATCGACTGGAAATTAAATGATGGAAAGGTCACACACAAAACGTTTATTTTGTTGTAGTTATTTCGTTGTTACGTTTCAACTTTTATCATTCTTGTGCTTCGACTGTTCCGTTTCATTGTCTACCGTTTCATATATATGTAAACTCCACCCAATTATGACTTTACTCGCTGTTCCTTTTTGTCCATTAGTTGAGAAAGTTGAGGTTTGGTTTGTTATCATATCAAGGACACGATATGTCAACTGGTGCAACTCCTGATACTGTTTGGTTCTATTTATAGCTATATGATAGTAACATGTTACATCGGTAAGTACATAAACAAAACCACAGGCTTTCATCTCTTGAAGGTCCATGACAAAACAAACCAAGGTCGATCCCGATGTCATAATAAACCTGTCACTCTGAAATGATATATTAGGAAACTTATTGGATTAAGTACTGATTAGTGAAGATATCACTATGGATGTTTCTGTAGGACTTGTGCTGTTGTTGGAGCCAGACCCGTTATGCCATTGTTCATTTCGGCCCAGCCCGGTGTAAAAGAAATTACGGTCCCCTTTCTTAACGGCCCTTACTGGCCCTGATTGTGGATACGATAATAAGGGAAAGAATTGTATTTAGGTTACTATATAAATCAATGGAAAGTAGGACCATAATTGATAGGACCTCCTACCCTTTTTCACCTGGCCATGATCAGTGTCCTCCAAATCAATCATATTATGCAATTGTTCTTGACTTTTCTTTTATCGTTCGTTGACATTGTTTTATGTTCTTATCTCACTCGACAACAGCAAGACGATGACTGGAGTTAGTATCATTCAAGATGGATGTCAAAATCCATTCGACGTAAAATTAAAAATAATTCGTCATGTAAACTTATAGAATTTTGCATTTCTGATTGCGAACAAGTTCAGAGGAATGCGATAATATTTCAGAAAATTTTCAAAACGGTTAGAATGATGCTAAATGGATGATAATACTAATTTATAGTGCTTCATATAACAGTATTAAATTCTTTTCCAATGTGAAAAGCATCTGTGTTTCTTGTCAGTTTTTGGGTTGACAGCAGGTTGACAGATTATTTAGATTAGATGTAAGTTATGGTTTCGTCTCATTACTGTAGTCTAGACTTAACTCACTGTTTTTCTCTTGAAGATTATTCTTTTTCAGATTATTTAACATCTAGCACAAAATGTTTTGTCTAGTCTGGAGTCCCAGTTAAAATTTCTATAAACCAACTCAAACGAGGGGATGAAATGTTTTAATTAAGTTTCATCAATCGTGAATTTCATAGACTAGATGCGAGTAGAAATAATTTTCATTTACGTCACTTTTAAATATTCCAAAATGCAGTCAAAGTGATGTCATATTTGAAATCTACATGTACACACCCCATTCTCTTATACGTCGTGACACCGGAAGCTTACGAAGGACAATTTTAGCCTCCATGGCCTGGAAACTCTAATACTGACCCAACTAAAAGAAAATAAATTTATATTACCATGAACTCACAAATACGTTTAAGCTCTTAATCTTAAATCAACGTAAATCTTATTAAATACGTATTTAGTGAGGTAAAATCAAAATAATATAAAGAAACAATTAATGTCATGGCAAACGTCGTAAACCTCCTTAACGTCGTATATCTTCAAAGAAAAATTAATTTGTCGGAATTCTTTCATTGATTTGGGAAACTGAAGTGTCTAGATGATGTATAAAAATTGCATTGTTAATCTAATCAATATTTCAAGATGTCAGGGTAAGAATTATAGAAACTATGCTCATTTTTGTGAAAAAAAATGATCATTTCTTTCCAAAATTTGTCGTGCTTTCTAGAAGGTCGGAGAAGTTCTAGACCGTGTTCAGACGACATATTCACTGCTATCCACCTAATTACACAGACGTATCGTCGGTGTATCATGGCGGAACTTCCTCTGGGACTAGGTTTCGGTAAGATTTTTTTATTTCCCGATTTACACCTACTTATAAGTCACGTTGTGGATAATAATTTGGCTCGAAGTTAAGGAAGATAGTCTAGTTTGAGAATGTGTCGATGGTTTTAGGGTTTCTCGTATATGTTAACAAAGACACAATTCACGTATTTAGTCCCTCGCTTTTCTTACACTGACGATCGGCATTAATATTGCCAATATTACACTGATATTGGACGATACGTCTGTGTAATTAGGTGGGTAGCAGTGATATTGAGACGCAGTGATACAAAAGGTATATCTGCATGGTATGGCCAATGTTTCAACGAAAGGGAAAGAACCATATTCTGTCAAAACGTCGAAATAAATGAGTACTTACAAATCTCCCGCCGAAAATACTTGTATAACGTCGTAAACTTCCGGTGTTACGACGTATGAGAAAATGGGGTGTGATGTAGCACAGTAGGGATAGTCATCATGTGACCTTCGCAGTTGATGGTGTCTGAACAGGGTGTAAGATTTTCTAGATTAAGCAAGAAAAACGAATATTTTTCATATTTATACTTTGTTAAATGCTTCAAATCTCGCCCCACTTGTGCATACTATCTGTTCTGCATGATGGTGTATGTACAGATTTTAAAATACACTACTTGGATGGTAGTCCTCGTGTTTCCGTATGTTATTTAAATATATCTGCTTCTTTCTAATGTGTTGTAGCACTTGAACATGGTAATTTAGAAACTCTGTTTTCCAAATCCAAAGAGAGGGGCATGCTATTTTATTTATTTTTTATTCCAAATGCTACTGTTTAATCTTGGATTAAACCAAAATCAACCTAGAATCGTAATGTTTGCCTGTTATCACTGCCATCCATTGGTTGAATTTCCAACGTTGAACGATTTGCAAATCGTGTGTGGGACAATCATCCGTCAGAGGAATTTAGATACATTGTGTATTGTCGCCAGAAATTAGGCGATTGAGTTATTTGATCAAACGTTATTTATTCCATATTACAAATTAAAGATTACCCACGTACCCACGTACGTGTGTCAAAGCCCAAGTATACTTGGTTACCCATCTATTCTGACTCTTGCCGAAGTATACTGACCTGACCTAAGTATTCTTAGTTTACTTATTTCTTCGAATACACTCGATAGATGTCCACGTTAGTTTTTAATCATTTTGTAGTTGAATTTATTTTATTAAAAAGGTGGCTCCTGTTATTCTGGTAGAGTTTTATATTTTTACTTCATTGATGTTATACGTTACGTTACGTTACGTCATATTACGGCTTCATCACTGATTGTTATTTCTACTTTTATATAAGTAATTTCAGGTTCCGACTTCCATATGTTTTTATAAAAGGCAGTTTCCTATCATATAAGGGTCACTATGAATAAAATATCTTATTAATCGTGGATATTGGATTGTTACAATAACATTTTGGTAGTTGGGTGATGTTGTTCTTTGTGCGTTAACCAGA